CGGAGTCAAACGTTTGGCTTCGGCTTCGGCTTTGGCCTCTGCTTCGGCTTCGACTTCGATTTCGTGTAGTGGAATTATGACTCTGGGTTCGGTTCCGTGCGGACTTATGTTGCTGTGGCTTTTTCCTGTTGAGTTTTGCACTATAATCACGGTTTTACTTCGAAAAAGTAGCCTTGCCCGTACCGTTACCCCAACTATACCGCATAATTTTCAAGGCAGAAACGCACACATGGCTGAAAGCCAAAACAGCCGCTAATTCTCGGTACCAGTAGCACCTTTACCCGGCCGGACCTAAAGGAAAGCAACTGTCCGAAAGATTGCAATAACACAAAAGATAACGACGATAGACAGACGAACTAACACAAACGCGACGACGTTAGTCCAAAAGATATTACATCTCTAATGCTAACACTTTGCGTACCCCACACAGCCTTCATGCTATTTCCTGACACCACACAGCTTTAGCAGACACCTAAAGGGTTTCGGTTCGCGCAAAACAACATTGCGCACTAGATCGTGGATGCGGATTTCGACGCGTGATTTTGAACTGATGGTGGCTTGACCTTAGCGTCGCATTTCTGAAACAAAGTCCCTGGCGTCGACTTCGGCCTCACGTCCACAAAGTTTAAAGCTGTTGGCTTCGGATTCGGCTCCGCGTTTCAAAAAAAGCAGAAGCCACTGGTTTGGGCTTTGGCTTTGCAGTTTCAAACGTCGAGTTCACCGGCCCCCGGCTTAGGCTTCGGCTTCGTGCCATTGTCTAAGTTCGAATTCGGCTTCGAAGCCTGAGGCCTAGCTTCGTCCCCATGCGTGGTGGGTAGCGATGGTCCAACATAGAACCGGATGATGTTGTAAACAAAATTTCTTTTTCGATCGATTTTTTGAAAAATATCACGATGGCAAATTAATGGCCAGTATGGCGGAAACATGTTTCCAGTTCATTATCGTGCTGCCAACCATCCTACAATTTTCAGCTCTCAATTAAAACAGTTCGAATTCCGCTGGAAGATTTGATTCAGTTTCCAGTTAACGTTTGCGCGCTGGCCTCGTCTAACACCCGTCAAGTTGGCCATGCGGCGGCGCTGGGAGACCAAGCGGCCGCCCTGCCGCCTCGTGCTCGCTGCCGCTGCGGAAGCATTGGTAGCAGGGAGCGTTGTTGGCGCTCGATGCTGGGAGACGGCGGGATGGGGCCGACGCAGTAGCCGTACGGGGTAAAGCGGACGTGCCGACTCCCTGTTTTCCAAACTGGCGCGACGTAATTTCCGATTTTCATGTGCCGATCAGCTGCGCCAGAAGTGTTTGATGTTGATGCACAGTGGCCAGGCAGGCGTGAGTGGAATGGGACAATGCTCTGAAGAAGATTGCTGATTTTTAGTTTCGGACTCGGCCCGCCATGGTCGCAGACATGATTTTAGGAAAAAGACAACCATCCACATGTCATTAGTTAACCTGCACCACTGATAAAAGAGTAAGCGACTTAAAAGGCGTTCGATAGAAAATATCTAGCTATGCATAGTTAGCTAGGTAGCCAGGCTAGGACTAGTTAAAAGCGTAAAAAGTTTAGTGTCGGACCTTTACACCAATTTAAAGTATGATTATTGACTTGTATGCCATCATAATCTTTCTAGCTATGTGGGTTTCCCAAACTGTGGCCAGAATGTATGATGTGTAGGGAATGTCAAGTAGTCAGTGTTTCAATATTTTGCCGCTTGGGTGGCAGAAATGGCGATATTTTATTTCAGTATTAACACGCGCTCGGGTGGGGGCCGAATTGACCCCCCCACCCACCCCAAAGGTATTTCTGGAATGGTTTCCGAACGGAGCGGCGTATCCCCGCCAAAGTTTGCATAGCTGTAGGCAATTGAATATCGGATCGTCTGACATCAAAAATGTAGATGCACCGTGTTGGTCACTGACCTATGACAGGTCAAAGTCAGGCCATGGTTTCGGCGAAGGCAGTTTCTAGGGAATCCTTCAATCCGATCCAACAACGGAGTGTTAGACGAAGCCTTACATCTCTGGGATGCTTTCTTTGCCAACACAACAGTTCAATGAACAAAGCCCATTCACCTCGAGTCTGGTATGGAGGTTAGACCACGGTCAAAACCAACCTGTTTTATTACTCCAGGGCTGATTACATTGGGTACTTTCTGGTGCTCATCTCATATTTATTGAAAACAGGAACCGCGTTATACACCTTGCATAGACTTTCTAAAGGGTCACAACAAGTCACTGACCTAAAATGACCCAGGTCAACATTTTGTTTGTAGGAACATACTGCCTAGCGTAATCTTTGCCTCTTATTCAAATGCAAAACTCAAAGCAGTTTTGCATGATTTTGGTCACCATGACCTTCAAAATGTCAAACAAGGTCACTGACCTTAGATGGGCACATGCCCTTATGCTTAGAACAGTTATGTAGGTTCTAGGGACCCTTTGGAGACCAGCCGGGAATTTGATCTTGTTTGATCTTATTTGACCCGAAGGTCATGACTTAGGAACCTCAAACTGTGACCTAAGCGAGTTCACCTACACGCCAATACACCATGTAAATTTGGCGTCTCCAGCCCTAAAAGTTTCTGATATCTCAGGCGGGTGGTCATGTTGACCCCCCACCTGAGCGAAGGGTATCCAGCCGGCCACCCGGGCTCGTGTTAAACCAAGAGCTTGGATTTCACCAACTGTTGCCCCTCCATTGTTTAAAATCGGCCAATCAACATTGAACCGGGCGACGGTCAACCCAGCATCAAACTGCCTCAGGCTTGACAAGTGGGCAGATCAGGTTATGTGTCTGGGTTCGGGGTCAGAGGGCAACGGATTAGCGGCACGGAATGTCGTGCGGTGACCGCCAGAGGGCCAGGGTTCTGGAAGCATGAATTTATCATTTACATCCCGATTAGTTTGGAACGTTGCAGAGTGTTGAAGCCATGTCAGTCCAATGACTGTGTTCTACACAAGTCTTGAGATGTTTATTGAACCGCATTTGTGTGTTAACAACAAATCAGTGTGCTCGCTTATCTATCTGGCGCAGGCGATCGATTGTTGTGACGTTGGCTATGGTATGTTGATGATGTATGTTGATTTGTTAGCTGTTGCAATCACAAGCTAACGTCCTATTGTCACGGAGACGGAGATTCGAGACGGAGATTCCTACGGAGACGGGCCACATGTGTCCCGCAACTCCTGCCGCTGTTGACTCTCACGCCGTGGTCGAGGTGTGGCAAGAGAACGGAGACTTCCGGTGGGAAAGACAGCACCGATCCCGGCCGATAGCGGATGTCGGTCTGAACCCGAGCTGTCGGCACCGTTGGGCTGCGGGCGAGCGCGGCCGGCACGGCCGGCGCGGCGGTCCGGCTCGGTCGGCCGCCGCTGCTCAGGTAACCGGGCGTGGCCGGGTGGCCAGCCCCGCTCGGCGTACGGCCGGCTGTCGCCGTCACGGCCCCACTGCGGCTCCCACGGGCCCGCTGCCGGCACCGGCGCGCGCGCACGGCCACACAGCACCCGCCGCCTCGCATGGCGCCCAGCGAGCGCGTCTGCCTCACGCCGCAGTTGTACTGCCTGGGCGGATGGCCGCCGGCCGGGCCAGCGCCGTTTCTGGCACGTTTTTGCGACGCAGCGAGCTGCCGGGACTGCGAGTGTTAAAGCCGGGCTTATCGTCACAGCAGCTGCGAATATCCTGTCGTGGTCAGCACAGTCGTGTTTTGCACGCATTTTCTCAGCACTCGGCGACGCCGCTGCCAGCGCCGCAGGTGGGGTACGGTCGTTGGGGCCGCGGGTTCGGGTAACCGGGCCGTTTTTCAGACAGCGTATCCGGCAGCCGATGCCCCGCGGCGTCGTCAGACCGCCACCCCCGTCCGAACCCCGGCGCGGAACGGCCGAGCGCGAACGCGGCCGGCGCGGGCATCCCTGGCCCTCCGTCTACTGCGCCGTCACAGCCGCGTGTTTATAGCACGGGTGGCGTCTGATGGGGGATCGGCCGGTTCGGGGAAGCGGCGGCGGCGGCGGCGGCGTCAGGGGCGTGGCGCGTCGGAGCCGGCGGCGCCGCTCGGCGCCGACGCCGGACCGCGAGGCGCCCGCAACCGGAGCGCCGCGCGCCGGCCGCCCCTCCGCCGGCTCGGTTGCCGGGGCGTGCTGTCCGGCGGACTCGGCGACTCGGCATGTGCGGCCGGTCGGCCGGCCGGCCGGTCGGCCGTGGGCCTGCTATTGCCGTGACTCACGCCGATCCGCCGCCAGCCTACTCAGAAGAGCGGCCCGAGCCGCGGAGACGGGGCCGCCGGGCGCCGGCCGGACCCGCTCGGACCGGGCCGCGGAGACGGGGCCGCCGAGCGCCGGCCGGGCCCGCTCGGACCGGGCCGCGGAGACGGGGCCGCCGGGCGCCGGCCGGGCCCGCTCGGACCGGGCCGCGGCCAAGCCGCCAGCCGGCGCCGGCGGTCCGGGGCGCAGGCGCCGCCGCGCGGCTGGCGGGGCGGGGCGGGACGGACGGACCGCATGGCCCCACCCGGTGCCCGCCGGCCCCGCGTCCCTCTCGCCGCCGGCTGGGCCGCCGCCGGCCGTCTCGTGCCCCGTATGCGCCGCCCCCCATCGGTCGGCCTGCGGCTCGTCCGGCACATGTGCCGGGCCGCCGGCGGTCACCGTCGCCCATTCAAGGCGTGTGCGGTTGCGATCGACGTTCGTGGCTGGTGCTCACGGGCACGTGCGCCACGCGCTCGCCCCTGTTTCAGGTGACACTCCTGACCAGTGTATGCGCGTCCAGGTGCGGGGTGTATCGTTGGGTAGCCGTAGCCAGCGTGTGTGCACGTGTGCCCCCCCCCCCCCCCCGCCCCCCAACCGACGACCGCATCGGGACGTTGACACATGTGTCGCCCTGTTGCAGCCGGTACTCGTGGCAGGGCTCGGAGGTGCTGGGTCAGTGCGCGCGCTCGCCGCGCGAGTCGCGCCGCTCGCTGGGCCTGCCGGCCGGCTGCCGGGTGCCCAAGCAGCCCCGCTACCGACGCGCGCTCGCCATGACGGACGCGCTGGTCCGGGTAAGCCCCGCTGACCGGTTTCGGGCCGGTGACGCGGCCCCTGAGTCACCTGGCGCACTCATGGCATCGAACACATAGCCGGCCAACGTCATCACCACCTGCTGCCGACTTTGTAGCCTGTCCACAGCGCCGCCCACTCGGACGAGAGTCGGAGTCACACAGCCGGCGGACGTCATCACCACCTGCTGCCAACTTTGCAGCCTGTTCCACAGCGCCGCCCACTCGGACGAAAGTCGGAGTCGTGCTTGGCTAAGGGGAATACTTATTAGCGGATGTAGCGAATGACTGGCGTTCCTGGAAGGTGTGGCGGGGGCAAGTTTGTCGTGCGGCATTATTTTGAAATGCGATTTAACCAGGCTTCACGTGAACGACTCAAGGTCTTATTCACCCAGATGCTTGTTTATAGATGGCATTCCAGCGGTGCTAATACATCGCGGGCGTTTCAGATATTGGCTAGCTTTGAGTCCTGGACACAGGCTAAGCATGGATTTTTCCACAAAGCCTAAACCCACCATTGAAGTCGTGTCGTGCACTTCAGCATATAACTCCATCGCCATTTCGCCGAACGGCACTGCGAAAGGCCTTGAGCGCTGCGCAGTGCTGCGGCACGGCCGCCTAGCGCCGGCATTGACCTTATAGGTCTGCAGCGCTTTTGGTATAGCTTCCATGGGACAGAGTCGATAAGGCTTCAAGAATTCGGTCGCCAGCCTGCGAGCGGGCCGGACGACCTGACCACCGTAACTTGGTCGATGTCCGAGGGTTCCAGCAGGCTGGGGCCGGGCGGCGGGGCCACCGTAATGGGGTCGGCGTCCGGGGATCCAGCAAGCTAGAACCGAGACACGTTGACAGTCATTCACTCTGCTCCGTTCACGCGCCGCCTTTGCCTTCCCGAGTACCTTGGCAGCATGCGCAAAACAACGCAAACATGAACGACAGCGGTGAGTCAAAAGGGTGCGCAGACGTGTCCCTTGCAACGGCGAGTGTTTGGAGCGTTCGCCGCGCCTTTATCGTAGCGGGGCAGCCGTTCGGAGAAGTGGTGACACGCTGTGCTCGCTTCGCTTTGCGGACATAAACAGCGATTTCGCCATGTGCCGCCGCTCAGAGTGTGAAACACGTCACGGGCCACGGATGGCTTCACGCCAGGGGAAAACGGCCTCCGTTCTTGTCTTGCAGCGCGCTTCGGTGCGTTGTTTCAATGCTAAACCTTATGTGCATAGTTGTCTGAGACCGCTTGAACCGCGTGACGGACCAAGCTCCGGTTCTCTCGGAGGTTACGGACCCAGATCCGGTGCTCCCGGAGGTTACGGACCGAGCTCCGGTGCTCTCGGAGGGTGCGGACCGAGCTCCGGTTGTCTCGGAGGTTACGGACCAAGCTCCAGTTTTCTCGGAGGTTACGGACCGAGCTCTGGTGGTCTCGGAGGTTACGGACCGAACTCCGGTGCTGTCGGAGGTTACGGACCAAGCTCCAGTTTTCTCGGAAGTTACGGACCGAGCTCTGGTGGTCTCGGAGGTTACGGACCGAGCTCCGGTTCTCTCGGAGCTTACGGACCGGGCTCCGGTTCTCTCGGAGGATACTGATCCGTGCAACGTGTTAAGCCCGGTCCAGCTTGGCCTGTGTACGCTATGATGCGTGGTATCGGTTCCCAGGTGCCAGTATATGCGTTCCTGCAGCCAGAGCGCACGATCTTTTTAAGCCAAAGAAAAGAAAAACAATGTAGAGCGACCCACGTATTGAGGTTCGGCTTTTATTAAGTTTTTTATTTCTTCCTTGGCTGGCTGTGGGCTAGCCTTGGCATACATTGGAAGGTTTCCGAATGTTGTGAATCTCATTTGAACAGAGGTGGACGTTCAACAAATCCCCTCGAGTTTCGAATGCTGCAGCTCCGAATGCTCACCCCCAGCCAACAGCATGATGTAACCCGGATGTGGAGGGTTTGACTGTTGCATTACCGCCCGTGTGGAGCCCCTGTTACGTGGGCCCGCTGTGGACTCTGTACCGGGGCGTCTTCTCTGTGTGCCTGGCTGAGCTGATTTCTGAGCTGTGCATGTGCAGCTCCACCGGCCGCCGCCCGGCCCTGTCATGCCGTCGCCGCGTCGCGTCCTGCCCCGCCGTTCCCGACGCGGCCCGCCTGGCCGGCAGGGCGTGCGCGAGTCGATCGCGCTGGAGCGGCAGGAGGCGCTGGCGCTGCGCGACGCGCTCGAGTCGGCCTCGCTGCACTCGGCGCAGTCGCAGGGCCGGCTGTACGAGACCGAGCGGCGGCTGCGCTTCACCGAACGCTACGTCAAGCGGCTCGAGTGCCACCTGGCCGAGATCGAGGAGATGGCGGAGCAGTACGGCAAGCAGCAGCGGTTGCGTGACGCCACCGAGCGGCTGGCGGCCGCCTTCAGCAGCAGCGGCGGCGCGCAGGTGGGAGCCGCGGCAGCCGACAGCGGCAGAGGAACTGGGGCGGGAGCCTGAGCAGGGGCAGAGGGACTGGGGCGGGAGCCGCGGCATTGGCAGAGGGACTGGGGCGGGAGCTGCGGCAGCCGACAGTGGCCGCTGTGTGTCGCTGTCGCTGGTGCCCCCTAACTGCTGGCCTCCTCTGACTGCTGCCGTCAGTTGTGTCGACGGGCAAAGTAAACAGTGTCTAGAGTGATGCAGTTATTTGTGAAATGGGGATAAAATCACTTAAAAAGGTGCTGCAATTGTGCGGGAACAACTTGGTAGCAGATGCTCCTACCCCCCCCCCCCCCCCCCCCTATGTCATGAGTGGTTCTGGTGGAACTCTCTCGCTTTGTTTCCTTAGCAGAAAGATCCATGAATGGCAAACCAGAATGCATGCACCGCATACCGCACGCACGAACCGTCACTGCATTGGACACCGTCCTGAGGCGTACACCGCACCATTCTTAGCGGCCGGCGAGCGTGCGCGCCGCGGCCGCGTCTGGCCGCTGTCGGTGATCTGTCTGTGGTCTGTCGGTGGTTTCGTTGGTCTCGGTGGTCTCGTTGATCTGTCGGCGGTCTGTCTGTGGTCTGTCGGTGCTGTGTCGTTGGTCTCTCCCGCCCGTTTGACCGGCTCTGCCCCGTGGCCAGAGCCAGCGGGGCCTCTCGCAGGCCCGCTCCGGCTTCAAAGAGTGCACTGAGGAGATGTGCCTGATGGAGGCCCAGCTGGAGAACAAGATGGGCACGCTGCTGTTCGAGCTCAAAGGTGAGCTGGGCGCGGCGGAAAGAAACGCTGCGGAATTGGAGGACGAGCACGGCTGGTGTCGTCCACAGACCTGCCGATGGGGTATCTCCCGACGGGATGGCCAAAGGCTTGCACATTGGGTGTTCGTTGCTGTGTATGTTTACGCGGTCCGTTCACGACTGGCGCCAGAGGCCGTGACGGCAGCGAGGGAAATCCAAAGCTGTGTGACATGTAATATTAATTGGTGCCAGGTCTAGCGAGACATGCATGCTGGACAGTGTCCGCTGATTGCTATACGAAAAAGAACACACACACACACAAGAACCTTTGTTTCAGACGATGCAATTCGGAAATAATAAAATAGGAGTTTTATATTGATGCAATACTTGCTCGCCGAGCAACGGCAGCAGCGCCAGTTTTGTTGTGAGCATTTCAGTGCGTGATCGGCGCCTATATTTACCAGCGCTGGTTGAGTAGATGTGTGCCGTGTCGCTACGTCATCTATGCGAGGGCTTATCGGTCCACGCAGAACACTGTGCCTCGACCGCTTCGAGGCACCGCGTGCTGAGCCATGGGCTGCCGGCCTGACTCGGCGGCCGTGCCGCCGCCGCCCCGCAGGCATCCAGGGCTTCGCGCGGCTGTGCGCCGGCGACGTGTACGAGATCTGCGTGCGCCTGGGCGGCCAGGAGTGGCGGTCGCGCGCCACCGTCGGTCGCGAGCAGGAGCAGCGCTGGAGCCGGCCGCGGCGCGTGCTGCGGCCCACGCTCTCCGACCAGCTGGTCATCAAGGTGGGGGATGGCGCCCGCGCGAGCCGCCCGGCATCGGGACGCTCGCGAGGCGGCGCCGGGTCGGGTCGGCGGTTCTCACGGGACGTCGGCTGGCGGAGCGCCCGGTGGTGGACGGCGACAGGGCGGGAGGCGGACCGCTGGCACGTCCGCGTTCACGGACCTACGGCGGCGGCGCGCTGTGCTCTGAGACAGCGCGTGCTGCGGCTTGCCGTCTGCGGTGGCGGTGCTCTGTTCCGCCGCGTGTTTTACGGGTCATGTCTTCGCTGTTGATCGCCTGTCGGGGTGATAAATAGGTGATGCGCCGCGTCCCCTGTCTGCGCAGGCCTCCGAGGTGAAGACGTTAGGGAAGCACGTGCTGGGCACGAAGGTGTGCGAGATAGGGGAGCTGCTGAGCGCGCACACGCAGCAGATGGTGATCTACCTCAACTCGACCGGGTCGCTGAAGCTGACGCTGATCGTGACCTGGAGGTGAGAGCCTGCCGGAGCCGGAGCCGGAGCCGGCTCCTCGCGCCGGGCGCTGGAGGCGGAGCGGGAGCGCGGCGGGCCGGCTCCCGCGCCAGACGCGTCGCCGACCAGAGCCGGGTACGGGTGGCGTGTGCCATTCGCGGGGACGCCCCGTCCTCTGGTCTGCATGCGCCTAAGCATAAACACTGAGTGGGCTGGAAAGCACTGTGTGTGCTTGCGCGTGTGCCGGGTGTAATTCCATCGGGCCGGCGTAGCTCCGGCGTCCGTGTGATGCGCCGCCAGCGCGCCGGCGTGACCCCTGACCCGCCGCGACATCGGCGCCGCGCGCGCCTGGTGGCCCGCTGCCGGCGGCCGGCGGCCGCTGACCCGTGCGGCCGTTCCAGCGCGATCGAGGCGTTCCCGGAGGAGACGCTGAGTCGACAGGCGTCGGCGTCGAGCCCGAGCCTGCGCCGCCGGCCCACCATCAACTCGCCCCGGCTGGGCGGCGACGCTCGCCCCGCCGCCGCCGCCGCCGCCGCCGCCACCGCGGCTGATACGGTGTGTCTCAGGCATACCCCCGCTCCCGGCTCGGGACGTGTGGGAGTGCGACCAGGAGTCCAGTCGGCTTGCTCATGCGCTGAGGCGTGGAATGCGGGGAGGCGCCAGGAGAAGGTCACGCGCTGGTATCATGAGCGTGTTCAGGGGCAAAACGCCGTCTTTCTTCGGGCGAATTTCGTTATCATTTCGGTGTTATTTGTGTATTAAGGATATTTGTGACAATGTGTGTGTGGGCGGCTGTGAATGCTGGCTTGTTTTGAATGCTCCAGCGCCGGTCTTGTCTGTCACCGTGCACTTTGGAAGCCACGGCACCCGGTGGAACTGAACGCTAATGCCGTCCGCTGCCTCGTTATCCAGTACGTGGACGGAAGCGACTCCCTGCTGCTGCCGGCCGACGTGGCCTCCCCCGATCTGTCTGTGGACTCGTCCGACTCGCAGACGCTGCCCAACTCGACGCCAGACATCCTGCGCCGCTCCGCGGGCCCCGCGGTGAGTGGGGGGGGGGGGAGGGGGTGAAAGTTCAGCCGGATCAGCGGTTCCAGGATCCCCTGCTGGCGCCAGGAGGAGCTGGCCTGGTATTGAAAGATAACACGCCCGCTCGCAGACTCGTCTGTGACGTCTGTGACAGACAAATATTGAGAAAGTAGTCTTAACAGAGGTCACAATGTACAGCATCTCAGCAAACAACAGGACATAACATGGGACGACATCAAACGGCTTCCAGCGTTGGATCTCGTGTGCATATAACAACTTTCGAGACTTGCACAAGCATAGTCCCACGCGTCACAGGCGATCTCAAGTGTCATGAAGTGGTGGTCCGCCTCCCGCCGCTTCCCGCCACCCCCTCTGCCCCGCCGCTGTCCGCCGTGCCCCGCCACTGCCGCCCCCCTCCGCTTCCGCCGCTTTCCTCCGCGCCTCTCCGTCTCCCTCCGTCTCCCTCCGCCCCCGCCGCTTCCCTCCGCGCCCCTCCGTCTCCCTCCGCCCCCCCCCCCCCCCCCGTCCCCGCCGCCACCGCCGCCGGACCCTGACGGGCGCCCGGCGACCCGGCAGGCGGACCGTTCGCCGGAGCGCGACAGCTGCAGCAGCGCCGACAGCGTGGAGGCGGCCGAGCCGGACGGCGACGACGGCAGCGCCGCCTACACGCTCCAGAAGCGACCCGAGATGCGCCGCGACTGGTTCGCCACCGTCGAGCGCAAGAACCGCGCGCGCCGCGAGCAGCAGGCCGCCGAGCAGCAGGTGGGTGGGGGTCGGGTCCGGGCGGGACGCTGGCCGGCCCGGGAGGTGGGGACGGCTTGAAGCAGGCCGCTGGTCGACGGGGTCTGGTGGCGCGCCGGTGTGGTTCGCCGGGGCGCTGGACGGGCTGTCGGCGCCGCGTGAGCGGCCGAGACGCTGCTGCTGCCGGGCTGCGATCGAGCGTGGATTGAGACGCTTTCGGCCGCCCGGTGTCTGCTGCCGGCCACGCTGCCCGAGTTGGGGCTCGCCACGCGTGGGGATCCTCTGCCGCCTACTCCCGGTCACCGGTCAGTAAGTTAAGTATCGTTGTTTTGTTAATAAGGAATATAAAAACGTTATGAACCTGCCGCGATGGGTGCCGGATTGCGTTGAACTTGCATCGAGGTGATCTTTTCTGGTGATGTGGGAAATGTGCTCACCACGCGGACATGCCAGAAAACGAACCCGAATAGCCGCTAGCGTGACTGGGGAGTGCCCACTGATCTAGTCCAGGTCCGCTCCAGGCCCGCCCGCTGACTCGGTCCAGGTCCGCTCCAGGCCCGCCCGCTGACCCGGTCCAGGTCCGCTCCAGGCCCGTCCACTGACCCGGTTCAGGTCCGCTCCAGGCCCGCCCGCTGGCCCGGTCCAGGTCCGCTCCAGGCCCGCCCGCTGGCCCGGTCCAGGTCCGCTCCAGGTCCGCCCACTGACCCGGTCCAGGTCCGCTCCAGGCCCGCCCGCTGACCGTCCGGTCCCTCCGTCAGGGCCAGGAGTCGGCGCCGCCGCCGCCGCGGCCCGAGGCGTCCGCGAGCGCCCTCTGGCAGGCCGGCGGCCGTCTGCGTGGCGCGGCGCTGGCGGTGGCGGCGCGGCTGGCCGACGCGGCGCCGGACGCGCCGCTGGCCCGGCTGCGCGCGGCGGCGGCTCGGCTGGCGGCGCGGCCCGCCGGCCCCACCCGACCCCGCCGCTGGTCCCACGACTCGGACGTCAGCGTCGAGTCGGCGCTCGACAAGTTCAGCTTCCTGCAGGGCGAGCACGAGGAGGCCGAGTGCAAGGTGTGACAGACGCCCCGCCCCCCCCCCCCCCCCCCCCTGGCCTGGCGTGGCCGGTGGCCGGTGTGGTTTGTTTGAGGCGAGCATTCAAGGGCAGCGCATTGTGCGGTTTTGACAACAATCAGGAGCGTCAGAGGCTCCCGTTTCTGTGAAATAGCCGTTGTCGGTGTTTCCCCCAGGCTTTGGGCTTGCGTGCAGTATTTGTCTCGGACTTTGTCTGCACAACTTCAGCTATCACGTTCTCGACCCACCCACAGCGTGTTTAGTTTTTTTATTACCTAGCCATGTATGGCCGCTGGAACGAGAACCCGTGTTTGCATGTCTGCAGTACGGCATTTTCTGAGAGCCACGTGCTACTGACGGCTGGACGTTGGAGACATTGTGTCATAGTTGTGCCGTGCGCATGAAACGCCCGACGCCGGCGTGGTCTGTAGAGGTGTGCTCGCGCTGTGTTAGACAGCCCGTTCGCGAGCGTTCTGCCTGTTGACGGCCACATCCGAGGTTGGGGTGCGTTTGCGACGCCGATCCGGCCCGGGCCCGGCCCGCGGTGCGCGGCCGTCCTCGGCGGGCTGGGAGACGGTATGCGGCGCGGTGCGGTGGCCGCCCTCCGTCTGTGCGCGGCGGCGGACCATGCGCCGCCTGGTGCCCGCTGTTTTCTGCGGTTTTGCCCCCGCGCGTGACCCCCGTCTCCCGCCTCCTCAGCCGGACCTGCTGGAGCCGGGCATGACGGCACGCACCTCCGACTCGGGAATCAGCTCGATCGTGCACCAGCTGAGCGAGGAGGCCGAGCCGCGGCCGACCGGCGGCGGCCGCGCCGACTCCTGCCTCGGCCTCAGCGACAGCGGCAGCCTGGCCGACTTGCCGGCCGACGCGGCGGCCGCGGCCGGACTCGACGCCTGCCTCGAGATGCACCTGCTCTACTGCCTCCACCTGCTCGACGTAGGCCAGGGACAGGACAGGGGCCTGGTGATGATGGCTGCCGGGGTGGTGGTAGGGGAGAGGGGTGCCTGCAGACCGGCTGCTGCTGGGCGGGACGTGGAGCGTGGAAGGGTAGCGTGTAGAAGGGCCCACTCTCTTCTACGCGGCTGGAGGGCAGGCGGCGTGGGAGTGAGGCCCCCGCGCCGTTGACGCCGAGTGCTGGAAGCGGTCGCAGTGGCTGCTACAGCAGCCGGGGTGCAGCAGGAGAGCCTGCATGCGGACACCGCGCAGCCACCGTCCGGCTGACGGGCAACTGCTATTGTGTGAATGGACAAGTCGCATTGTCACACGTTAACTGGTGTGAAACGTTACCATGACGTGTGCGCGTCGTAAGTGCCTGGTTTGTTATAGTTGTCAGCCCTGGACATGCGAATCCTGTGCATCGAGACCAAGTTTGGCTCGCTGCTAGCGTCAGGCGGTATGTCACGAGGTGGGACGCGAGGCCCGACAGGTGGCCTCGCGACCGTCTCTGGTCTGGCGGGCCCTGGCGGCGGGCGGCGGGCGCTGACCGCGACCTCTGCCGTCAGGGCACGACCCCGGCCGGACCGCTGCGGCACCGGGCCGACAGCTGCCGGCAGAAGCTGGGCCGCCAGACCGTGCTGCTGGAGCTGATGCTGCAGAGCCCGCCGCCTGATGACGTCATCACGGACGCACAGATTCAGGTGGGCGGCGGGGCGCCGGCTGCGGTGCCGACGGCTGGTGCGGGCCAGTGGCCCATCGGGGGTCGTGCGGCGCCCGCTGTGGTTGTGTGTTGTGTGGGCCGACGTTCGCGCTGTCGGGCTCTGCGACGGCTGGGAAGAGACGTGTTGTGGTGTGACAGCAGACAGTGTTGGCGTCCTATTCCTGACTGGTGTCCATCGTGGTAGCCGAGGTGAGAGTAGCGACAACCTGGCTGACCTGTCCACGGCAAATCCGGACGGCACGCCGTGCCTACCCCTGAGTCGGGTGGGTGTTGAAGCCGGCGGCCGGGTTCACCCGCGCATGCGCACTGTCAGTGCAGTCTGCAGACACGTCACCAGCTCAGTCCGACCCGCGTCAGCGTCGGCCCGCACCGCCGCCTGCGCCGCCGCCGCCTCTGTGCCTGCCGAGCGGGAGCGTGTCGTGGTCAGCGGCTCCGCCCGCCGCCGGCAGGGCGTCTGGCGGGAGCTGTGCGACGGCCCGGCGCTGTACCACGTGCCGGCGGCGGCCGCCTGCGAGCGGCTAACGGCGCTGCTGCGGCCCCGGCTCGAGTACAGGGACGCCCACATCGCCGGCAAAGGTGGGCGTCCGTCGGGTGTGGTCGGGCGGAGTCGAGTGTGCGGGGATGCTCGTCACTGGCGAATGCACATTCGCTTGTCACCACCAGCCGAGGTCTGGCATGCTGCGGACGGGCGTTGAGGTGTAGAAGGTGCACACACTAGTGTGCGTCGTACACTGCCGAGCCAACCGTACCACGCAGAGGCATGCCCTGCCATCGGTTGGCAGTGCGTTATGCCTCGAATCCAGAAGCCGGAGACAGTCACAGACAGTCCCGTCGTGTCGCGGCAGCAAAGAGTGCGTTGATGGCCGTGGTGTGTGGCGTGCGGCCGACCGCCGGGTGTGCCGTGTGCGGCAGTGTCCCGTCTGGTGGTCAGCCGATGTCTGGACCTGGCCGAGGTCGCCGCCGACCACCAGCTCACCGTGTTCGCGCTGCGGGACTACACGGCCGACACCAGCCTGGACCGGGTGGTCGAGGACCTGGCCGAGGAGGGTGAGTGGCCGCCGTCGTGTAGTCTTCCGCGCCGGCTATGGATTGATGCAGGAGTCGCGTGCTGCCGCGTTACGGGTCACCGCCCCACTCCGCCCCGAGTCACCGCCCGACCTCGCCCCACCTCACCCCGGGTCACCGCCCGGCCTCGCCCCACCTCACCCCGGGTCACCGCCCGACCTCGCCCCAACTTATCCCGGGTCACCGCCCGACCTCGCCCCACCTCACCCCGGGTCACCGCCCGACCCCGCCCCGCCCCGCCCCGCCCCGCCCCGCCCCGCCTCAGCAGGCCCCGACCTGACTGACGTACGTGCGGCGGTGCCCCGTCGCCAGCTCCAGCGCCGTCCTCTCCCCAGCCAGCCGCTCAGCGAGCTGATCAGCTGACAGCGCGCGCGAGCCTGACCGACTTGTTTGCGTGGTGACCTCCGTCCCCGGCGGCGGCGATTCGTGCGGCCCTGCCATCGTCGCTGACTAAAATATGCATCTGGCGGGGATCGAACCGCGTCCCTTTCGATCGCCAACCCGCCGCGCCGCCGTGGCCGGCCCGTACCGTGCCGCCGCTCTTTACCGAGTGTTCGGTATTCATTGTGTCGGCACGGCATCGCGTGCCGCCGGCGGGCGGTGGTGTGCGCCCGGGCGGGTACGCCACCGCCGGGACGGCTCACGCACGCGGCCGTCTGTCATGCGCCGCTCCCCGCTCGAGCCAGCCGCTTCACCAGTGGCTGGCGAGTGCCGCTACTGTTGCGTTCGCCGGCTTGCTTTGCGCTACCTTGAGATGTTTTGCGCTGTCCAAAAACTCCCCACGACTAGCGGGGTGTTACAACTTGGGACCGATTGTCCACTAGGCGTGTGTCATAGGGGTGTGCAGTGTTGGGACGGACTCAAGTTCGTACGGAAACTGACAGCAGTTGTCGGGTAGTGTGAGCCTGCCTGACACGGATAACCTTTCCCTGGGATGACACGCCAGTCCAGGCTTCGAACAGTGTAACTTTTGGCCGGCTAAACGCCCGGATGCAGCAGCGCCCATTTAATCGGAATATGATACTTCCGCCGTCAACAATTCCCTTATTGTATACCCAAACCGGTGCGTGCGAACCCTGGGGACACTTTGTGTTTTAGAGGACAGTGAAGATCAGCTCCGAGGGTATGGCGCTGACAGCCCCCGTTGGGCGCCATGCTGCAATACGTTACGGATCGGTTTGCCGTCAGTCAGGGCGCCGTGACCTCAGTGACCTGGGCGCCCCGCCAGTGGCCCGTCCTGTTACCGGCAGGCCGGCTGTCCTTGGCTGTTGTTGCGACGCGGCCTGCCTGTTGTGCGATGCAGGTCGACCCCCCCCCCCCCCACCACCACCACCACCACTACCACCACGTCTGCCGCCGCGCTGGGCGGTGTGTCTGTGTCTCCGAGGTGCTGGCCGGGCCGCGTCCGCCGCCGACCGGCCTGGCCGTCGCGCTGAGCGTGGCGGCTGTGTCACGCCGCCACGAGCTCGCGACGAGTGACGCTGGTCGGCGCGCTCTGCGCCTCGCTGACATGCCGTTCTCTCTCTCTCTCTCTCTCTCTCTCTCTCTCTGCCTCTGTCTCGGGCCGGCTGCAGTCCAGCTGACAGACGCGCTGCTGTCGCACAACGCCGAGTCGATCGGCCGCCGGCTGGCCCAGCTGGTGTACATGTTCCCGCCGCGGCCGTGCCTGCGCGTCGTCTGCCAGCTGCTGGCGTCGGCCGGGCCGCGCGTCGCCGACACGGTGCGCGCCTGGCTGCGCGATGTCAGCAGGACCGACTGCATGCTGGAGCAGGTGAGGGAGGCGAGGGAGACCGACTGCAGGCTGGAGCATGTGAGGGAGACGAGGAGGATCACC